CTCTGCCCTCCTCATGAAATCCTTCAAAGATCCTACTGGAAATCTCAGGGGTGTCCCATTTCATCTCTTTGGATTAAGAAAAGAACGAGGCAGAACAGGATTAGTATCAGCTCTCCATGGTCGAAGCAGTCTAGTTACCCTAGGCCCGTCCAAGCTCACATCGGTGCTGTGTCCGCCACCACACGAGCCTGCCTCATGGCGGCCCTTCCTGTCCTTAAATGACGGCAAAAGACTCCTTTTCCTTCTCAAAAATGAAGGTAAATGCTAAGAAAGATTTACCATTTTATAGGTCGTCATCAAAATGTTCTAAGCCAGAAAATGACTTCAGAATGGCCAGGGCTGTGACGACACGAACAATGTCACACACACACACATAATGCACTCACAACGGCTCTGAGCAGAGTAATCCATCAGTTCTTGCCCATCTGAGTAACTAACTTTAAATTTCAGGACTTTAGTCATTTTCTCCGTTAGCATTGATGGTCTCTCAACATTTTCAGCTCCAATAATCATGGTTTGAGGAATAAATAAAGCTTTAAAGTCATCAATTTAAATGCTGCTTTAATAAAAAAGTGGCCAGCGTCTCATACTAAACTGTTGAGGCTCTTCTTTAACGGAGGGTTCTCAAGCTGCAGACTGACCTGCGGGGCGCCCCTAAGGGGTCTGAGCCCCAAGGGTGTGGCCGGCAGGAGGCCAGGTGGGCGCGCCTCCCTGTCATCGCCTGCCACCAGCTGTGGTGCCCGCAGACTTCTCCGCACCAGCACTTCTCCCTTTTCTTCCCTCACGGGGTTCTGTTCCCCACCCCCACCCGCCCGGAAGAAAGTTTTGTGACGATGACAAGGGATGGGAACAACTTTAGACTATGAACTACAGAGAGTCTCTTCTGTGAGCCAGGTGTTTGTGACACACTAATTCTCTGTTTACCATCAGGATTTATAACTTTAAACATCTGCAGTATTCCTGTATTTGCAAATGTATCCAGCTTTCCCAGCAATTTGAATAGGAAATTTAATGTTAAAGATTGGGCTGACCTTAAGTATCACATCAAGCAATGTCTGTGCTTCTGGGTAATATAGACTAGGGTTCCCCCACCTTCCCATTTACATGAGGGAGAATAGGACAAAATAATATAAAAAAGAGGTATAATTGTGCTTTTTTCCCCCAAGAATGAACAAACTATGTAGAACAAAACAGCATGATAATCTCACTAAAAATCTTTTAATTCTGACCTTATTTTCCCTTAAAAAAACTTAATTTCTAATAATGCCACCATGAAGTACAGATAGGTATGGTCCTACACAAAATGAAAGTTGGATTACTTTGGTTCCATTTCTTGAGTAGTAAGTTGAGTAAACTGGGATGGTACTGGTCGTTCTTATCAAATAAATGGAAGTGTGTACTGCATCAGGTCATGGAGATGAACATTTTTTAATTCTAAAAAGCTGCCTATGTAATTTCAGAAACATTTAAACTAATACAGCACTCTACTTATTTCTTAAATTAGGAACAATAATATTGTTCCTACGAAAAGCCCTTTTCTAGGTCGTTCTGCTCTGTCCTTCAGATTCACACAGGGTATAAAGTTCATGAGCAAACTGTCTGCTTGTGGTACGCTGGCTTCAGTTACAGTCACCGCTCCCTAGGGAGCGCCCATTACCATGGGCAAATACAGTATCACTATAAATGCATTCAGAATTAGTCTTTGGTTTAATATGTATTCACCAAATTCAGGGATGAAATAAAATTTGCATAATCATTAGGGGGGATAAAATTAGAATGTACAGTGAGTTAATGATGACCTGTCTGGCCCATCCGCTGAGAAACGCAGAAACTACCAAACACCTCTTTTTGATCAAATGGCCCCCTTAATTTCTAGACCGTCCCATATAAGGGGGTTATAAGTCAAGTCTGAGTACCTTCGCTTAGGAGAGTCATTCAAAGCAAAAAGCATTTCTTGAGATGATAAAGAAATATAAAGTAAAAAAGGACTAAAGGTTGGGTCGTGAAGCAGTATGATCAGGAGCCTGCCTAGGGGTGCTAATGGGGAGGCGATGTTAGCTAAACACCCGTCAACAAAGTGTTAGTGTTCCACGTGTACATGTGCAGATGTGCCTTTCATTTTACAACCTGTCTTTAAGGAAAAAAATGAGAAAATTTTTAAAAGTTACCTTTGTCTAAGGATTTATTTCTTTTAAACACAGATTTTTACGCCGGTTTAAGGTTTATCCTCAAGTGATCTGCACACACCGAAAGGCAGAATCCCCCTATCCCAGGATGACCAGGGAACACACACAGGGCAGGGAACAGAAGGCCATTGTACTGACACTTAAAGCTTAATATCTTTGAAAATATTGAAATCCATTGGCGAATCTTACCTGGGAGAGGGAGCATCTTTTGAACCACACAGGAAAACAAACAAGCAAGACAGCTTTTCCTTGCCCTTCCTTTTCACCCGCTGGGGGTGAGTCCCCGAGGACTCCACACTTCCTTTGGTAGCCGTTTTGGGAAATTAATGCTGGAGCCTCTAATCCAGGACGGTGGGCATCAGCATTTCCCTCCCTGAATCCGTCCTAACTTACCACCCCCAGGGGAGGGATCGCTCCAACGGGCAGCCACAGTCTCACTGAGAGCCCTAAACCATCTGCACAGACTGAAGTCAGAGATGTCAAGTCAGGATAAAAGAGTAAATGTAACTACATCAGAGAAATAGCAAGATGGAGAGGAGAGAAACTAGTAACTGACACTGCCCTTCTATTTACACACCGAACTAAATAAACTAGTTAAAATCAAGTTAATGTCTGCCCAGAGGATATTACGATTTACCAACATAAATGATTAAAACAAGCAGCAACTTTTATATAAAATTAATAAAGACAAATGAGAAAAGAAATTGTCAGTAGCATCTATCTCCTCAATGTGTCTGAAATGCACGTTATAAACTAGTCCATTAGTACAGCAGCTTGCTAAAAATTGACTTTGGTTCAAGCTTCGTTAAAAACAACAACAACATAAAAGACAAAACAACACACACCACACATTAAAAAGGTGGATGGACATTTGTTAGTTTCCCTGCTTGCAGTTCACGGATTCTGGAGGGATTTTAGGGAAGGTGAACAGTGAGAAGAGGAAATTTAGGCTGATAATTAAATACTCTGAAATACAACAGGAAGACAGAAGCAACAAAAGAAAGACTAACAAAGGGACTACAAATGTTTCAGCCTTTTACTGTTAAGGTGCCTGTCTCCCACCTGGACCACCACGAAGAAACACACACACCGTGTCCCTGTCACCGCCTTTCCCGATGCCTCCCTGTCACCGCCTTTCCCGACACCACGAAGAGACAGATACACGGACCCCAAGCTCCCTCGGGGACACAAGCAGAACACTCAGAACACAGATGACCTGCACACCCTCTCTGAGACCCCAGCTCGAAAGCAGGGGCGCAAGTGCAGTCTCGGGCCACCGGAGACATAAGCGAGCACCCACGGACGGCACACGGGAACCGTGACCTCCGACACGACGGGGAGCTCAGACGAGCCCCAGTGCAGCCATCGGTCTTCCGGGAACTGTTCGGGTACAGATACTGTCCTCACAGCGTGCGGACAGGAAGGGGAATTGAATGTCCGAGTTACCCTCATTCCTCTGCATCGACTTCCATCAACTCCTCCTTTCCACGGGCTCGTTTACATAGTCTAGAACTCCCTGCCAACAATGCAAGCTAATCACGTTCCCTGTCGCAGAGCCGGGCGTGGACCGCCCTCTGACCCGCCTAGCTGGAGCACAGCTGGAGCATCACCAACAAACCAAGGAGACACTTGAGGTGTGTGCAAAGTTCCTGCTCAGAGTCCTTCAAGGGTTCTCAAGACCCCGTGCCCAGCCAGCGGTACGCTCTCCAGCCGGGGCAGCAAGGAGACACTCGGGTCAGAGGAATGTACGCGCCGTCCCGTGAAAGAGAGGTCCGTGGCCAGAGGGAAAGGGGGGAGCCTCAGACTCTTCTCATCACTCCTCTTTGGGGTACAGAACTGATGGCAGGCGTCTAGTGGCTTCCTTTGGAAAACAGAGGAAGGGCAGTTTCCCAATCTCAATCAGTCCACTCTATGCCAAGTCAGTGAAAGGAAGTTTGGATGAAAAACTTCCACAAAATGGAAACACACAAACCAACACACCAACAGTAGGAGCATTTTTCAGGAGATAAGAAATCAGGAGAACCACCCAGTCAGGGGTCTGCAGTAGTCTTTGCGCTTTGGGCCCAGATCCTGCCCTGCCGCCCACGGCCGTCCCCACGGGAAGTCGCGGAAGCAGCACCGGTGCGCGCAGGACCTGGGCCTCAGGGTCATTCAGTGATCTGGGGTGAGTGAGAGCTACAGTTCAGCAGGAATTCCTTCCTACACAAAAGTGCTCCGAAGGCACCACCTGACGGGGGGAGGGGCGTGTGTGGAGTGGGCGTGTTTGCACACACTGCCTTCAGCTTCTGCACCAAGCCTCTTGCATAAGTGGCAAAAGAAAATAATTTTCTAGCACCTCTGTAAGAGTCATCAAGGATAAGGAAACCAGCAAGAACATTCCCCGCAGTTAAGAATGTAAGTCTCCCCTTACCCCCAAACCCTCCCTCCCCACAGTGTGGGAGCTCACTGAAATAGGATCCAGGAGCAAGAGATAAACATGTCCAAACTATATATATATATAAAAAACAATAACAACAACAATAATAATAGAGACACAGTAATACAGGCCTGCCTAAATTGTACCAGTTAAGAAAGGAACCCCCAACACAATTGATACGATTATAAACACCTTGTTATGACTTAATGGCCTGTACAACAGACCCATAAAAATGATTTTTTTTTTTTTTTTAAAGAAAAGAAATTTAGACAAACAAGAAATCCCCTTCCTATACTGGAATTGGTAACCCACCTTAACTTGTCATCATGACTGCTGGAAATGGTAAGTAGTCCTTTCACTTCTTTGTTTGTTTTTGATTTTTTGTTTCTGGTTTTTTTTTTGTTTTGTTTTGTTTTTTTTTTGTTTGTTTTTACTTTTTGGTTAGAAAGTTCTCCAATCCATGAAGCAATCCTGAAAAGACAGTGTTTTATTACAAAATTAGGCAAATGTTGTCCTTTCTCCATCCTTTTTTTCCGGTATGCGCTTTTCTCCTCCTCTCCCTTCTTTCCCTTGCTGCTGAAACATGGCAAGAGGAAGCCAATCACATTTTTCAGTCTCAGCCTGGCCCGGCAGCCCATCGTGCCGCGAGTGGACAAGGCTGGTGTCAGCCCTGTGCTGCCCAGCCGGCTCACTGTGCCTTGGAGGCGGTGGTGGTGGTGGCGGCGGCCCCGCTGGCGGAGGCCACTGTGAAGAGAGAGTTCTGGATGGACTCGGCGGAGGTGGAGGTGGCGTGAAGGCTGGCTACAGGTCCAGAGTTCCCTGCAGAGGCTGCGGCGGCAGAGACCAAGCTCACGGGGTTGCTGGTGAGCAGAGAGAGGTTCTGAGGGTTCAGGAACAGGGGGGCAGTCACGATGTTGGGGGCTCCGCCTGCATTGGCGAAGACCAGGTTCCCAGTGGCATCCAGTGATGTTATTGGAAGGGAGCCACCAGAGGCAAGAGCTACAGACAAAACCCCCACCAACGGGCAGAAAGGAGAACGTTAACACCATCCGGAGAAGCCAAGTAACACATCAAATGTAGTCTTCCCACAGCCTAGGTGGAAGGGCAACCCTTAACTGACTTTTTATCTTAATCCCAGCGCTCTCCTGCCACCAACTGAAGCGCATCTGTAATTCTGGAAGAGCCTGAACTGCCGTAGTCGAACAAACGGCACAAGCAGCACAGGTTGGGGGCGGGGGCAGGAGCGAGCAACGCCGAGCTACCCGGCCGTCTCGGGGCCTCAACTTCCTAGAGGACCTCACCCTCCGAGGAGTATTAATATTAAGTCTGATAATTTCGTCTTCAATGAAGAGTGCTGATTTTACACTTTGATTCAAAAGACAAACTAGGTACAGGGACTGGGGCATTAAAATGTAATTCGCTTTTAGCCAACTGGCATTATTCATAAATCTGAGCGCTTCAAGAAAAAAAAATGAAAACCATCTTTCCAAATGACTTTAGTGCTAAAATCATTATCTATAACCAAATAAAGTGTAAGGTACAGTTAGTGCTTCCCTTGCTGAGGCATCACACCTGACTCCCAGGACTCGTACGGAGGAGGAGGAGGAGGACAAGGTAGAGAGGGAGGGACGAGGACAGCACAGATGGGGGTGGCCTAAGGGGCTCACTAAGGTTAGGACTTGCTCTCACGAGGGAGAGTCTCCCTGCGATGCTGTCACTTCTGTCCCCACAGAAGGTATCACCAGACTTCTAAATAATTGGGCACTCTCATTTAATACATTCTTCTGCTCTCTGACAACCCCTCCACGGTCCTCCCACCCGTATAACCACATTTTCACATGAAGATCTGAGGGGTTTTCTAATGGCACTAAAAATCCGGTTCATTTCTTACAGAATACATAAAGCAAGCTAGGGACACTGAAGGGAAGGTCTCTGACTCTGGACATGGCATACAAAGAGCAAGATTAGGGGCGCCTGGGTGGCTCAGTGGGTTAAAGCCTCTGCCTTCAGCTCAGGTCATGGTCTCAGGGTCCTGGGATTTAGCCCTGCATCAGGCTCTCTGCTTGGCAGGGAACCTGCCTCCCGCCACCCCCCCACCCCGCCTCTCTGCCTACTTGTGATCTCTGTCAAATAAATAAATAAAATCTTTAAAAAAAAACAAAGAGCAAGATTAACAAGACTTGGCATAGCCTGACGTTTTCTGAGGTTCTAGGCTTCGGGTCATGGAACAGTTGCAGAGCTTCCCAGAAAGTACTTGTTCTAATCTCAGCTGGGCCCTGCATTTGCCTTTGTGGCATCACTAGAGCCCAGAGGTACACCCTCACGCAAGAGGAAAAGTGATTTATCACAAATCTTATGCCAGAAAGAAATCCTCATATCAAAAAGTTTACAGCCCTAACCATCAATTTTACGTATGATTTAGTCAACGAGAAAGCCAATAAAACGTAAGGTAATTATCACGTAACGATTTAGAAGAAATACGGACTTGGTCATTCAGTCACCTGAGTGAATGAGTAATTCTCAGGTAGATCGGGTGGACATCCACAGTTCCTGAGAACGCTTCAGAGCCAGAAAGGTGGAATGGGTGTCTTAGTATCAGGGAAGGTGGCTTGTGGACCCCACCCAAGGGCAGGGACTGGCTGCCCCAAGACAAAGACCTGACCAGAGGGTCGGAACTTGCAGTCCCACCCCCGGCCTCACGGGATGGGAGAGGGGACGGAGCCTGACTCCGCCAAGGGCCAGGGACTGCGTTGATCATGACTGTCACGAAGCCTCTGTTAAAACCCAAGAGGACAGCTTTGGGTCTTTTTTGGAGAGCTTCCCCTCTGGGAGAACCATGAAACTTCTACCCGCCACCGAGCCAGGCTCCAAGCTCCTGCGGGACAGAGATTTCTCCGGTTGGGACCCCACCCGCCGTGCCTTCCCCTCTGGCTGCGGACCTGCCCCTTCCTCGTGCCCTTTCACAAGCCGCTGAGCGTAAGCAAGGGCTTCCCCAGCTCTCCGAGCCGAGCACGAGACGCAGCCTAAGGAGACTGCTGGGCCCTTGGATCTGTGACTGGTCAGAAGGCCGCGGGAAGCGCCTGGGCCTGCGACTGCTGTCTGAAGGGGAAACGGGAGCAGTGTCGTAGGACTGAACCCCGAACTGGGGGAGTCGGGCGCTGCCTCTAGGGAGACGGTATCGGAGTCCACCGGAACTCTCAGACACCTTGCTGGTATGCGACAGCTGCCTACTGCTTTTTTTTTTTTTAGCACTGGATTCTTTAATAGTGTGAAATTAAAGATAATTTAAAATCCAACAATAGGGACATGGTTGAATTAATGGACAGGTCCACGCTGCGTAGTTAGAAAAAGCAGCAGCTTGATAAAATAGGTTTGGCGGAGGGAAAAAAAGCATTTTCAACTGCAGCCATATATGATCTCCGTGTTAAAAAGAAAAACACGTGTACAGACGCAGAAGAGGAGGAAAAAAAGACATAATAAGCACCGCTCCCGTGTTAACATTCTCACTAGGGGCTAGGATTACAGGTGATTTCCATGTTATCTGTACATTTTAGGTTTTCTAGGGGGTGTGGGGGGCACGTTGGCTGGAACTGGGTCTAGGAACCCTAGAAAGTAAACTAGGTCACGTCTTAGATGTGTCACTCCCACTCGCTACCGCAGACTGCAGACCCCATTCGTGAAACACTCGTCGGACTTGAGGTTGGCTAACAGCTTCTGTTTGGCCCCAGGAACTCTCATTTAAGTACAAAACATTTGAATTTTAAGAAAAAAATTCTCTGATTAATACACTGATGTCTCAAATTGTCTTCCTGAAGCACATAACAGCATCTTCAGACACAAAGCTCCGAAGCCAAATAAGGGAAACCCTTCCCGTCTGGAAGGAGCGGCTTTCGCCTGGACGGCACACTGAGGCCGAACGCGACCCGCTGGCCTTGGACCGGAGACCGTCCGAGGGCATGCATGTGCTGTGCAGACCGGGCGGACAAAGGGCAGAACCTAACGGAAAGCGCGCCCGGAGTCCGCATAATGTGCTTCAAGGTTAATTCATTCCGGGACCTTCTCATACAGCCGCTCTTAGGGGTGCGGGGGGGACTGGAGAATGTCTCTCGGTCAAGTTTGCCTGGGATGGGTCTTGGTTGTCTACTTAGGTAAATCTGTCAGGGGGAAATTCTGCCTCCACGTCTGCTCACCTAAGAAGATAAATAGCAACACAGAGTCCTCGTTTTTTATAACACTTCAAACTAAGCACATTTCCTGTTCTTACACACGAACCCCTATACCGCTTGCAGAAAAAAAGCTCTTCCACAAGGACGTTTTCTTGGCCGCGGGGTTAATCGGCATCACCAACCCAACTCTCCCCACCACCTTCGCCTGGAGCAAAGCAAACTTCCCTGGTTAACAAGCAAGCGAAAGAAGAGCAGTGAGGGGAGGTTCCACTGACCTTGAATGGTCGCCAGTGTGCTGTTGCTCATGAGGGCTGGGCTGAGGGCGCCGCCCAGGGTCCCTGGGTTGAGGCTGAGTAAGGCACCTCTGCAAGGCCAAAAGAGGGGTCACTCGTTACAAGGCGCGGCTGTCGGGCTGAGCTCACACGCCGGAAAGGACAAGGGAAGGGGACGCGGCTGGGGAGGTCAAGGACGTCTCTGTCACCCTCCTTGCGGGAACAGGGCTTGCCTCGTGCTTTCCAGGCTGCTCCCGGCACGCAGCAAAATAAGGACATGATCCCCCCAGAACCTAAAACCCACGGTTCTGGTGACTCTTCTTTCAATGACTGCTCTTTCCCCTTTTCCAGAACAAAACACAAAATGCCAGAGAAAGGAACACATTCACAAGTGATCCTTCCATGCTTGGTAATAAACCGGGATCTTGCTGCTCTCTCGTCTGAGCATCAGCCGGCGGACCGCGGAGAGCGCTCCACCCGCACCGAGAGTCCTGGCCCCCACCCCCACCCCCGCCCCCGGCGCGGCGCGCCCCCCCCCCCCGCGTGCTCGCACGCCGCGCCCCGCCCCGCCCTCCGCACGACGGCCCGTTCCCAAGCGCCCACAGCTTTAAGGAGAGTCTGGGGGCCCTCAAGGGGGGGTGGTGTCTCCCCAAGAGCGACCGCAGGGAGGGCCCCCGGCGGCTACCAGACGCGACCGAGGCGGGCGCTGCTTACCCAGCTGCGAACTGCGAGGGCGCCATGAGGCCCGGGCTCAGGCCGGCGGCCGCGGCCATGGCGGCGAGGCTGGCGTTGGCCGGCAGCGGGGCGGCCCCCTGGAGGGCGGCGGCCGCCGCCGTCTGCAGCCCGGACGCGGTCACCATCACCTGGCTGCTCCCGAGGGGCGAGGACAACGTGGAGGTGGTCTGCGTCGTGCTGGACTCGCTGGCGCTGGACGCCTCGGAGGTGGAGGCCGAGGCCGACGGGGAGGGACTCAGCGGGGGGGAGGTGACGGCGGCGGCGGCGGGCGGCGCCGTGGAGATGACGGTGGCGGTGCTGCTGGGCGCGCTGTCCGTGCTGCCTGCGGGCGGAGGCAGAGATCGTGACCCTCCGCGGGTGCGTTCAGCCGCGCTCCCGACCCCACGGTGACTGGTCATCGGCCGCCCAGTGACCTCTCGCTGGGGTGTCTCTGTCACCCCGTTGGCGATTCTGTGGAAACTAACATTTGAGAACCCAAACCACGATCCCTGCTTTAGGAGGCAAGAGCGACACAGCCGCCACGCGAGCGGCACAGAACAGTCTTCTAGGTCGAAAAATCAAAGAATCCCAGCTGGCCAGTGGGGGGCGGAACCGGTCTGGGGAGGAAACACACACGCAAGAGAGTCCTTGCTTCTGAGAAGCGGTTTCCATCAGAAACTGCAGTGGCCTCTCTAGAAAAATCAGAACAAAACAGTGAAGGCAAGAACTAAAACTTAGGTATTCTTCTGAAGTTCAGTGTCAACAATGACATCTGCGGAACAGTAGGGAACAGCTGCGGCGGCGTCTAGATGCCTTCTTCGCGCTGAAATATTTAAAGAGCTGTTCTGTAATGAAAATCAGCTCTCACGAAGCCTGTCGGAATCATGTTCTTCTTCATGGAAACAGTAACATGCAAGGATATTATGAATCTCATAAAAGAATGAAAAATGAACATTTTGGGCGCCTGGGTGGCTCAGTGGGTTAAGCCGCTGCCTTCGGCTCAGGTCATGATCTCAGGGTCCTGGGATCAAGTCCCACATCGGGCTCTCTGCTCAGCAGAGAGCCTGCTTCCCTTCCTCTCTCTCTGCCTGCCTCTCTGCCTACTTGTGATCTCTCTCTGTCAAATAAATAAAATCTTAAAAAAAAAATGAACATTTTTTCATGTGTCTGATAGCCACTTGTATGTCTTCATTGGAGAAGTGTCTGTTCATGTCTTCTGCCCATTTTTTTATATGATTGTCTGTTTTGTGTGTGTTGAGTTAGAGGAGTTCATCATCACTAGCCATCAGGGAGATTCAAATTAAAACCACATTGAGATACCACCTTACACCAGTTAGAATGGCCAAAATTAGCAAGACAGGAAACAACATGTGTTGGAGGGGATGTGGAGAAAGGGGAACCCTCTTACACTGTTGGTGGGAATGCAAGTTGGTGCAGCCACTTTGGAAAACAGTGTGGAGATTCCTCAAGAAATTAAAAATAGAGCTTCCCTATGACCCTGCAATTGCACTACTGGGTATTTACCCCAAAGATACAGATGGAGTGAAAAGAAGGGCCATCTGTACCCCAATGTTTATAGCAGCAATGGCCACGGTCGCCAAACTGTGGAAAGAACCAAGATGCCCTTCAACGGACGAATGGATAAGGAAGATGTGGTCCATATACACTATGGAGTATTATGCCTCCATCAGAAAGGATGAATACCCAACTTTTGTAGCAACATGGACGGGACTGGAAGAGATTATGCGGAGTGAAATAAGTGAAGCAGAGAGAGTCAATTATCATATGGTTTCACTTATTTGTGGAGCATAACAAATAACATGGAGGACAAGGGGAGATGGAGAGGAGAAGGGAGTTGAGGGAAATTGGAAGGGGAGGTGAACCATGAGAGACTATGGACTCTGAAAAACAATCTGAGGGTTTTGAAGGGGCGGTGGGGTGGGAGGTTAGGGGAACCAGGTGGTGGGTATTAGAGAGGGCACAGATTGCATGGAGCACTGGGTGCGGTGCAAAAACAATGAATACTGTTACGCTGAAAAGAAATAAAGAAATTTTAAAAAATAATAAAAAAATAAAGTAATTTAAACTTGGGAAAAAAAAAAAGAATGAAAAATGAAGCTCAAGGAAACTGTTATTTGAGAGACCATTACAAAAAGAATCAAGATGCCCAAACTTCTTTTTGTTGTAAGGAGAACAACAAACATTTGTATACAAACAACTAACACAGTATAAATATCAGTGCTGAAAACTAAAACACATTCACTGGAATTACTTAATGTTCGAGATCAATGTTGTCCAACAGAAACTTAAATAATAATTACGTAATTTAAAATTTTCTAGTGGTCCTACTGAAAATATTAAAAAGGAACAGGTTAAACTATTTCCACAATATTATCATTTTAACATTAAATCAGTCTCAAAAAAGTATTTTTTTATACTAAGTCTTTATGAAAATAGTGTGTGATTTACACTTAATAGCACATCTCAATTAGAACTAGCCCCATTACATGTGCTTAAAAACCACAGGTGGCTAGTGCCTGCCACGCTGGCCAACAGAGGTCTAAAATATGTCTAGAAGTTAAGCCTGTGGAGTCACAGAGGCAAGTGTTACGAAAAGAATATAGTCTCTCTGCCCAAAGCAGAAATGACTCATAAGGCAGTCATAGGATAGAAAACCTTCCATAAAGCAGATGCCAGCCGTCCCCAGTGAGCTGTAATTCTGATGCTATTTACAGAAGGCACTATAGAAGAGGCCCTCTCTGTCAGTTCTCAGTAAATGCCACATACTCACAAACGCGGGCTGCCTACACCAGCTGGAACCTAATTCACTGAAGCTCACTACGTTCTAGGGTCTCCCCAACCATATATATGTATAAAGCAGAACCCCAGTGGTATTTTCTCAGGACAGAGAGCTCAAGAAGACAAAAAGCACCTATAAATTTTCAGTGTAGTATTTCTGTGAGGTATAAAAGACTTGATACAGTATAGAAGAACTAGACCAATCAAAATAAGTATTTCAAATCCATAAATACATTGAAACAAAGACCTTATGTAAAAGATAACTTTTTTGGTGATAAAATCTATCACTAAGCTAAAGAAGACTCTCTCTTAAAAAATTCAGTTCTGTCCTCCTAAAATCTATTTTTGAGCCTTCTGGTCTATACTAAGAACATCCAGAATTCGACTCTCCTCATTTTAGCTCTAAGGAAGTGTTTCATTCACACGGCATGGAGCTGGGAGGAAATCAGACATCATCTGTTTCGGTACTGAGTCCACTCTTATGGCCCCCACACTGCTGCACAGAAGTGTTATGTGGTCTCAGTGAATCCCATAAACACCTCTTTCTTACTGTTCATCAAAAAGGGACCATGTATTCCTTTTTCCCCCTTCTCAAAAATAGATAAAATTGCCTCTTTATTGCTGTTTTCGCTAAATACAGCTACACTTATATCATTAATCAGGCTCCGTTACTGTTTCAGTTCTAAATCTATCTGATCACTCTCTCCCTCTGAGCCCCTGATGTTGTGCTGGGTCCTACGTTGGGCAGGTTCACACTCTTCCACTTTTGACACCTGGAAGAACTGCCCCTGTTCTATCTAGAAAGGCAAATGTCTTTTCTCATTTATCTTTGTACTACTAGGAAATTTCAATGAACTTTCAATCTTTTCTTGCTTAATTTCTCACCTTATCTACACTGATCTACGCTTATCTATGGGCACTACTTCCCTTTCCAAGTGCTGAAACTGTCAATTTCCATAAGACTCCTTATCTTGAGGTCAAAAACTTAAAATAGGATTTTTTTCCCACTCTCCATTTCCACTGCTTTCAGAAAGACCATTCAGCATCACTCTCTTTAAATCCCCTATGTATACAAAGAAGGGCCCAGTCATCCTCAGCAGTAAAGTTAACCTGGGCTAGAAGATGACTCCAGAAACCACTCCCTGGTGTTTTTTTCTGGTTGTCATCCTTGAACCACATTCCAGGTGTTTTCAATAAGAGTATGTCATGTGAGGGGCGCCTGGGTGGCTCAGTGGGTTAAAGCCTCTGCCTTCAGCTCAGGTCATGATCTCAGGGTCCTGGGATCAGGCCCCGAATCGGGCTCTCTGCTCAGCAGGGAGCCTGCTTCCCCCTCTCTCTCTGCCTGCCTCTCTGCCTACTTGTGATCTGTCAAATAAATAAATAAAATCTTAAAAAAAAAAAAAAGAATATGTCATGTGAGCACTTGTAATTTTCAAATAAATTCTCCTAACTAGTGAATCACATTTTATTTTTTTAATTGGATTTCATTTTATTTTGAAGATTGATTTATTTGAGAGAGAGAGAGAGAGAGAGAGAGAGAGAGTACACAAGCAGGGGGAGTGGCAGGCAGAGAGGGAGAAGCAGACTCCCCGCTGAGTAGGAAGCCTAGCTCGGATCTTGATCCCAGGATGTTGGGATCATGACCTGAGCTGAAGGCAGACACCCAACTGACTGAGTGCCCCAGGTGCCCTAGTGAATCACATTTTAATCAACATTTTATGACCTTATATTCTTGGCAACACAGTTACTTGGGCTACTTTGACCAGAGAACTCATGTTTGCTCAGCTTCAATGTCCTCCACAACAAAATAAGATGCCATCACCCACCTAGAAGGTCAGTGGGAAGTTACGTGCAAGGATATATAGTGTTAGGCACATCCTCTCACTTCCTGCCTCATCTTTGCTTTTTAGAAAATACATTTTTGAGATATAATTTAAATGTAAGATTCAATGGTTTCTAATATATTTACAAAGTTGTACAATTACCACCCACTGCACCCGGTTTATGACCAGATCGCCTGTGGCTCTCCGTAGTCACACCCCACTCCCACCCACAGCCCTCCTCCTCATCTGCTTTTCTCTCTATAGATTTACCTTTTCAGGACACTTGACGTAAATGGACTTGTATGATTTGTGATCATTTTCATCTGGCTTCTGTCAGCACACTGTTTTCAAGGTTCATCCATGTTGTAGTGCAAATCAGTACCTCCTTTTTCTGGCTGGAAAGTACTCCAGTGCATGGGCAGACCACATCATGTTGAGGGAGTCACCAACTGACGGGCACTGGCTTGTTCCCGGTATTTGGTTATTACGAAGAACGCTGCTAGGCTCATCTGTACCAAGGTTTTTGTGTGGCCATGCTTTCATTTCTCTTGCGGACTTACTGGGCCAAACGATAAGTTTACATTTAACTTTTAAAGACACCGCCCAAGTGTTTTCCAAAATGACTATATCACACTTCACACTACCCCAGCGATGCAGGACGGTTCCCGGCCAGCAATGATTATTTTTGGTCTTTTTGATGACAGCGATTATACAGTGAGTA